TTGGTAGTAATATATTTGAACAAAATATCGCTTCTGATTGGAGTAAAACGGGTTCGGGATTATGATTTTTATGTGAAAAATCTAAAAAGAGAAAAAATTAACGGTCCTAATTCAGTTAAAATGTCTGTAATTAATACACGTGAGTAATAACTAGGGGTGTAAACGAGGCGAGCTCGAGTCAGGGGGTGTTCAAGCTCGACTCGCGAGTTAAATACCGAGCTCGAACTCGAGTCAAGCTTGAGCTTGACTCGCGACATTGTAATGAGCTCATCGAGCAGCTCGATTTCACGCCCGCCTGCGCAATTTCCCTCCCGGTTTTCGCCCTGGTGGAGAATTGATATTTGAGGAAGCGAAGTGATAGACTTGCTCTTTTAATGGAACTGTGTAGTTTCCTACAGTTTTTCTCTAGTTAATTAAAGCTACCACTTTGTAATACATCTTTTAAATTTTATATAATTGTTTTTGATATTTTTGTTGTTTTAGTGATAATTAAAGCTGAAACATTTATTAGCATTGATATTTGAGAATTTTTTTATTGCCTATGCGCTGTTGAGGAATTCAACTTAATAATTTTAAAACTTTTAAAAGTAATAAGAATATTAATAATTAAACAAAATTCAAACATTAATTTTAACCAGCTCGCGAGCCCATAAACGAGTCAATCTCGAGCCGGTAATATTCAGCTCACTTACATCCCTAGTTATAACAACTCAAACCTTCGTTTTGAGTGGATTCTTCATACTACCAACATGATCCTTAGTCTGAAAGTTGCATGCCCTAAAATGAAGTCATCCATTAGCCAAACACTTATCATCATCATTCACACAAATTAAAGGCCGGGCTTCTTAAACCTCACCTCATATTATCGCAAGCTCTTCCTCTCCTTCTATAAACTATAAAATTTAAACTGACGAGCGCACTTCAACTGCCTTTTTAAATCATTTACATAGAAAAATTTCTTGAATGAGTCAAATGTTTGTGGAGATTAATGAATTAAACTACCTTTTGCATCGAGTCCTCAATAATGGTGGAAAAGATGCAACATTTGATAACATCAAAGTTGTTGTATAGGGATAAACATTCTTGAATATATTGAGATAAGAAGAGCCACCAATGCCTTCATATAGTTCAGGCTAAGGAGCCTTGAAGTTCAATGGAATGACGAGCTCCACTAAAACCTCTAATGTCAATAAAATGTTATGTATTTTACATTGGGCATAGTATTAATCGTGTAAGACTCAAATTGAGTATAATTATTGTGAATGTTCTCTTCAATCTTTCCTTTTTTTTTCTTCTAGAGAAGTAGTTAATTGTAGGGGTGTCAATTTCGGGTCACGGGTCGGGTTCTAGTCGAACCTGAAACTAACCTGGCACTATTCGGGTCAACTCGAAACCGACCCGTTTTTTAAATGGGTCAGTTTTCCTGACCCGAACCCGACCCGCTTTGGGTCCAGGTCAACCCGACACGACCCGAATGACCCGTTTCCAACAAAAAAAATTGTAAATTTTCAGATAAAAAACGGGTCTATCTCCTCTTTTTCTGGTCAAAATGGGGTCAATCTATGGTTGTCGAGTCAAAATCAGGTTTTCAGATCAAAATCAGATCAATTTCAAGTCAAAGGGTTAACCCGAACCCGACCCGATTTTTAAATCTGGTCGAAATGTTGAACCCGAATCCGACCCATTTCAGGTTCGGGTTGACCCTAACCCGAAATTTTTGGCTCGGATTTTCGGGTCGTGTCAAATATTGACACCCCTAGTTAATTGTCCAACAGATCATGCCATGAATTCAAATAAGAGAAACTTGCTTCTATCCTATGATGAGGTATAGTACACAAAATCAGAGTTTCAAGATTAAGAAATAATTATGTTTGGGTTTCTCTACGAATGTAACCCTTCTAAGTCCAACAAATGAGGGAGGAGTAGATTGAGGCTTCGTTCAGGATAGCTTCTTACTGTTTTCTAAAGTAATTTTTTAGTGCAAAAAATTTGAGTTCAAGAAATTTTTATTCTAAAAATTGTTTTAGAAAACAGTAAGAAAGTTGTCTCAAATGAAGCATGAAGTATCAGATACCAACAATCTTTTCTGCAAATAATAAATATGAAAATTTCCCGTATATATGCTATCTAATTTCCAATATGTTTGTAAGAAATGTCATTAAATTAACTGCTTTAAATTCTCTTGAGCAGAATTGTAATGGCGTATAATTATCTGAAAGGTTGTCAAACTATAGAGATGAGTCTTGCTGAAGGCCTTCCTAGGTGGAAATTTTCACAAATGGGTTTTATTTGTAAACTAAGGCGGCTTTCTTACTGCTTCTTAAAGCAAATTTATAGTAGAAAATTTTAAATTTTTCTACTATAAAATTATTTTAAGAAGCAGTAAGAAAGCCGACCAAATGAAGCCTAAATATCTCACCGTTAATGACTTTAATCACAGGTTTCATGAAGATGATTGTTTAAGGCTTAGATTTTGTTTGGTACGGCTTTCTTATTGCTTCGTAAAATTACATATTAGTACAAAAATTTATTGAAAACAGATAAGTCTTAGACATTTTGAAGATTACTGGAGGTGAGAAGCATCATTCTTACAAATTGAAAAATAATATGACAACATTTCACTAACAAATTTTCAACACATTGTATATATCCCATATTTTATATAAGAGACTTACAGTGCATAAGAAAGGTGATGTCATGGGTTAACAAATCCTATTGTTTAGTCCTTAATTAACACCTATTTAGTACTAAATTTTTTAAAAGAGTTGCACATAATCTATCCTATAGAGATTCTCTTAATCAGCAATGAAAGAACAAACTGACATGTTTCTTAAAATATTTTTAATATTTTAACGAGCATCGATGAGAGAGAACTCCAAATCACTGTGTTTTCATGCATGATCATTTACTATCGCATATATAGTGCAGATAGTAATTTCAGATCGAAGGATTCAAACATCAAAGCTTTTCAATTTCAGCTTCATTAACATAAAATTTACCAGACACATTAAAAGCCTATATATAAGCATAGAAGAAAAAAAAATTTAAACTACAAATCTATTGTTACCCAAGTCGAAGCTCCAAATCCAAATTATCATCTAGATCACCACAGGAAGTTCCCAGATCCAAGCTTCTCCTAACGATATATGTCTTCTTTTTCATCACCATCTCGTCATGCAAGTCTTCTTGTTCTACTCCATGAAGCAGCTTCACTCCAACGGTCGACTTTTTCATATCCACAAGAGGAGAGAGGAACGTAGGTGGTGTTATGTTGAGGTTAGGCACATTGTTAGGGTTAGGGTTTGAAGGAGAGGGAGAGGGAGAGGGATCCCATGGTGTTGACAGCCTGAGCTTTGCTCTATCCCTTCTATGGACATTCATGTGTCCACCAAGAGCTTGAGCAGATCTGAACTCTCTTCTGCAGAAGCTGCAAGAGTAGGACCTTGGTGGCCATGAGAAACTTCCACAGAGGGTATGATCTCTTCCATCAAGAAAGCTTCCTCGATATCTCCATGGCTCTCTCTTTTCCATGGATGATGCAACTGGTTAGATCCTACAAAAGAGAAGAATGCTTTTCCTCTTAGTTAGCTTCCACACTCATGATGAGAACCCAAGTCCTGAAAGTGTAATCAAATCTTGAGTCCTCTCTCTCTCTCTCTCTCTCTCTCTCTCTCTCTCTCTTTCTCTCTATCTCTTCTCTCAATAATTGTAGGCTAATGCTTCTTAAGGAAAAAAAAATTAGGTGAGTATATTCTTAGTAAAATTTGATCATGAAAATTTTTAAAGTTATCAAATTAAATTAGAGCATTAAAATTGTCTGGGTACAAATATGATTATAGAATAGGATATTTATAAAAAAAAATATAAAATATATGTAAGACGAACAAAATATAAAACAACATTGAAAATAAATTTTTTCTTCCTAATACAAATTTTGATTATTTAAACAACTTTCATAAGATATCTTCATATTTCAAGTACATGCACTACATTATTGATAAATTTGATATCAAAGAGATATTGCTATGATTTTTTTCCCTCTCTTTATTTTTGTCCCACTGACTAAGAAAATATTATTTTGGTGGACATCAGATGATTCGGAGACCAACCAGAATGTACCATATAATTCGGTATTGAGCAGTACCGAGCACCGATGCCGAACGAAAAAGTGACGTGACGCATTCTGATTGGTCTCTGGAACACGTCTGAGATCCGCACATAATTATTTTTTCGAGGAGTTATGAGGGAAGGAGAAGTGACCATCAAATTCCTAACACTGAAACTGAGAGTCCAATCCATGCTGCAAACGCCTGTTTCCTCAAAAAGGTCGGGACTTATCAGAAATGGAAGCAGGCAACTACTACTTTATGCTCTTTCCCAAAGCTGGTTTGGCCTCCTTGGGATCTTTGATTCAATCTCTTATCTCTGTGAGAAGTGTGAAAGTCCCCTTTGGCTTTGGGCATCCTCGTGAGTGGATGGGCATATAACTGCATGGGAATGCGTGGAAAGAGATTGCCCTTTTAGCTGAATGATAGATTTTTATTTTTTATTTTTATAAATGATGAGCAAAAAATTATAAAATATATGATTCGAATCTAAAAGGGCATCTTCAACTGAACTCTATACACACGTCCGACGCCTCGTCCACTAGGGCTGCAAACGAACTGAGCCGAGCCGAGTATGTGAGTGTTCATGTTTGTGTTCATTTAATATCAGCTTGTTCATGTTTG